AACTACAAACGATTTTAGACAGGAATCCGAGCTCATTCTGGCAATAGCTTTCAATCAGTTCCTACTTGGTCTCCAAAAATCGATTGGACGCTCATTTGATTTCCGATCGCGGAAATTCCAAAACTACAATCAACTACAAACGATTGCAGATAAGAATCCCACGTCATTTCAAATACAACTATGAAATAGTTCCCAACTGTTAGAAAAAATCGATTGAACGTTTATTACGATTCCGATCGTGAAATTTCGAGAACTACAATCAACTACAAACGATTGCAGACGAGAATCCAATGTCACTCCAGCTCTAACTATGGAATAGTTCCTACAAACAAGAAAAACGTTACTACTATCACGAGTAGCTCAAAATCTATCAAGTATGAAATTTTGGTTCAAATCCAACCAAGTGGGGTCCCCACTTCACGGACCTCAAATATTTGTATGGAACCCGGTGATGTGGCCTGTTCTATCAATGCAACATAAAACAATCGATAGTTTTCCAAAACAGCTTTCGATATAGAAAAAATGGAGCCTCCTGGCCTCTTTCTTACGCACACTCGACGTGGATGAGCGAGTTGTTATGTAGATATTTCGGGATCATTTATTTCATTATCATTTTGGAAGGCAAGTTGGAAGGACCTTTTTTGAAGCTGATGAAATTTCCAACCAAAATTGTTTATCAAATTTTCTCTTGAAGTGATCATTATCCGTGCAGTTCACGATCCACAGTTGTCGACAATACCGGCATCAGAAGTTTTAACATGAAGTACAATGAGTTCAAAGAGGGAGATGCTAACATTACTCGATAATCTATAGCATTCCCAGAGAATGAATTCCACATTTTCCTTCTCTCTGGGACACCGAATTGGTTTCCTCCCTTCCACTTTTGATAATAAAAGAATCTTCCGTCATTGTCGAAGTAACGTAGCATCAGTTTCTCTCAAGTCTTTCGGAAATTATGAAGAACAAAAAAGAGATAAAAAAATTGATAATGCTGCTATAATTGTTTTATGAACGGAAATGAGTAGTGAAAAATCGTAATTTAAATTGAAGTTTTCCATTAATTCTAGAGGAATGTGTTTTTTTTTGTTAATTGTTTGCCATAAAAGACTATTCAATGAGAAAAAAATTGAGTAGATCTTGAAGTCTGAGTGACTCGCGTCGGTAGTCGGAATTTTCCAGCCCCGGACAAAATTTCCCGGACAAAATGCCCCTTTTCTTAAATTTTCCGGACGAAATCTCCCGGACAAAACCTCTCAGATAAAATTACCTTAGGGAGGGAAATCCTCCAATTGGAATTTTTTTTCTTATTTTTCATTTGAAAATTGATGTTTTTTTTTCGTTTTTCGAAAAAAATGATAAAAAAAATTATTCTTCAAATGAAAAAAATTAATAATAGTACATTAGATCACTAGGGCCTTAATTTCGTTTTCGACGAATGTGGAGTTTACAGGACGAGCCGAAGGCGAGTTCTGTACTCACATTCGTTGACAACGAAATTAACACCCTAGTGCTCTAATGTACAATATTCTACAATATTTTATTTCACTCCGTGCGATGAGTCGAGATTGAAGCACCGGGGTGACATAAAAAGTTGAATTTTTTAAATTCATATTCCCGGTCTGTTCTTTTTCTTTCGTACGAATATGAATGAACCCGAGCAACACGTCAAAAGTGAAGGACATGAGAATAATTTCCTCCCATACGTGCGACCACGCAATATTGAGATACTCATCATCGACCTTTCTACTGCCGCATCTGATGTAACAAGTGCTGGAGCCTGTGAGATATCTAAACAGGGCGACGTGTCAACAATGAACATCATTTCGGATCCAGGTGCTTCGACGAACGCTCAGATTGTTTTACCTCTTCCATCACCCGACAATACACTCACTGTTGGGGATCAATGCGAGCATGTTGTCGATTTAAACCTTCCGAAATTGGGATTTCAAGTGCAAAACACCGTCCTTCATTCAATCACTCCACAACGCCCTATCTCTTCTTCACAAAGAACGGTGAATGTGACCCCTCTGGTAGCGGATCGAAGTGAGAGAGTTGTTGTTCTGCCAGTAACTCAAACCAATGATGGTGAGATAACTCATCCACCTTCCCAGCACAATGCCTGTACCCTGCGCAATGGATCGGCGCATTCTGAAGCCGCTGTCAATGAGCTAGAACCTTCCAGCGACAACGAAATGGTATTACTTCATGATACCGTTGGTAGATTCGTATTATAAATAGTCATTTATCCATATACAGGTTGAATTGATGCCTGGCAGTAGTGTCAGAATCAATCTCCCCAAACTCAATAGTATCATTGAGAACTATGGCAGAGATTCCTCTGCGTTGATGCGGGAGCTTCTCGTGGCACTAGTCGGATGGCAACAACTTCTGACAATGACGGCAACTGGTCAAAGATGTGGCCGGAAACCAATTCCCCCGACTATTTTGAAGGTCGTAGAAGGTTGAATATTGAATTCCTCACCCTCGACAGACGTTAAATCCTGTTAACGTTACATTATTATTTACTATCTATCTAGCATATATCGTTCAACACACGAACGGAAAGGTATCGCATCGTCTATTCATGCGACAAGATGGTCAAATGTTAGATGGATTTCGTCGCCGGTAGTAACTCACTGGAACTATGAAAGCACTTATTCAGTTGCTCTGCGGCAAAAATCGGAGTGAAGAAAAAGAGAATCATTGACGTTCATCAAAATATGATGGAGAGGGTTGCGAAATTCTATGGAAAACATTGTTAATTCCCAAAAATATTATATAAAAATGAAGGAAATTGGTGATAATTTCAAGAAATTTCAGGATAAATCCAAACACGATCGATGTATGACATCAATAGTATTCTTTTGAAACATTTGAATTTGTTTTCTGTGGAATAATAATTCGATTTTTCACATTCTATTGAATATCGAATTCTTAGAGTATTTTCAAGGAAAAATATCAAAGGACAATTGATGTTGAAGATTTTTCCAGCCACAAGAGAGACAAAAGTTTCTGGGAGTTTTGCACAATCAACGAGAATGTCGAATTTGAGTTGTTACTATTTATTATTTCGCAGCTGAATTCACCTTTAGGGGTCAAATATTTCTTATGGTGTGGTTATATTCATATATTTCAATCGATTTTTCATTCTTAAAATTTTATGGTGAATCTGAGAAAATGGGTTACATGTTGAGGAATAATATATGTGGACGTCCACATGAAAAGGGCCTACTTTGACGGTATTGGAGTTATGTATGTTCCGATAATCTTGATCAGATTTCTCACATTTTGAGCCCAAAATCAACCCGATAGAATGAAAACTGGCGTCAGCATAGACGATCAAAAAAACAATTCAACATTGGTTTAAATGGGAGATGTGGAGAGAAAAACGTGAATATCTCGGAAACTAGATGCGACAAAGTGGGCCCTTTTCACGTGGACGTACACATATATTTTCTATTGCCAAGAAAATCGAATATGATCGGAAATTTGTAATTTCGATTCGCAACATTCTCTAAGCCCAACCGGAGAGGTGAATTTATTCTGAAGGGCGGAATGGTCATCCTCAAACATTCAAATAATAAATGCGTTATGCGAAAGATATACGCACAAATAAACATCAACGCAAACGAACATCCATAGAGACGGGAATACACAAAACCAGGCTCACCTAAGGGGAAATGTCAGTCGTACGGAGGCCATATGAGGCTCCATAGGGCTCGTATGAGGGTCGTATAAGGGTCATATAGGAATCATGAAAGGGTCATATGGGAGCGATATGAGGCTCCTATAAGGGTCATGTAAGGTTCCCATGACGGTCATGTAAAGGTTATATGGGGGCCATACGAAGGTCGTATGAGGGGCATAGGGGTCATATGGGGGTCATATGTAAGTGACATTCAACATACGAAAGCTGTCATCAGCAAATGAAAAGATTCATACCATTCCCATAACTTCAATGGAAATCATTGAGCGGAGTGAGCGGTGAGTGAGTCGCATGAGCGGTATTACCTGCTGAGCGGTACAGGCACATCCTCCCCTATAGCATGGAGACTAGAGGGGCCTCTATTCTCCATACCCTATAGATAACCGGACATCCACACAACTGGACATACATATTACCGGACATGTACAAGACGGACATATACACAGACGAACATTCATAAAGACTCGGCGAGATGGACGATGATGGGATTCAATGGGTCCAATCCCTGAGGAATGATCGGATGAGTAGCTGAAGATTCAATTGATAATGGAAAGAAGCTTCAGACCTGATAATTATAGAACAGTCGAAAAATTTTAGTATTCCAGCATTGAGGGCAAACCACGGTGGGATATAAGTCGATATACTCGAATAAATAGTCGATATACTCAGATATATAAGCTTCGTTGTGACCTCTGTGGAAGATAATTTTCTAATTGAAAATTCAATTCTTAAGAAAACATGTGGGAAAAAATGTTTGATGGTAGTGGCCATCAAAAGAGAATGGTCCGTAGAGCTTTCGAAATATTTTATTCAAGGTTCAGCCCAGTCTGGAATTTCTGTGTAGCTAAGAAATATAGAAATAAAAAGTTAGATACCATTTTGCACTCGAGGACAAGGCTCTGAAGCATCAAAAAGCCCCAGAATAACTGTTCTGTATTCAATCAGCATCATTAAATTAATTATCGCGCCAGTGCGAATAGCTACAAAGTAACAATATAAATCATTTAATACCTGCAATGAAATGAGTTGAAATCCATATGGAAATATTTTGAAAAATCTAATAGAAAGCTTGGCAATCATTACCTTACTTCACCAAAAATCTAGTCACTTGAAATACCTGCTTCCTGACAATCAAAAGTGGTTTTTTAAACACCCATAAATTTGGAACATCACATTTAGTCAAGCAGTACCCTAGCAACTAAACCACCTCATCGTGAGAATAATCTGTCGAACCCTAAATATTAGCCATCAGCACACTGAAGGGAAGATAGATATTGATATCTTTGGAGATAAAATGGAGGAAGAGGATCTTGACATGGACTATTATTTTGAAGGAGACGAAGATGAAGAGAGCTCACCAGAAGATGAGAAGGAAGAAGAGAAGCCAGCAAAGTGAGCTCATCCAAAAAAAGTAGCCATCAAACGTAAAGAAAAATCTGTGGACACCGGAGAAAGTACCACTGAAGGTGATGAAAGTGACTGCGACAGCGACAGTGAGAGCGATAATGATTGGGATGAATTTGGAGAATCATGGAATGGGGAGAGAAAGTAGCTGGCAAGCGTAAGCGTGGTAAACGACTCTTCACTTTGTCACCCGAACTAGCTGCAATAGTTGGTGTGAAACAAATGACTCGATTTGAAGTAGTTAAGAAGAGCTGGGACGTCATCAAAGAGAGGAATCTCTATGCTCCTCTTAATATGATGTTTGCCATTTGCGACGGAGAGTTTATGAAGGTTATCGGAGAGGAGCGTTTCAGAGTCTTGGGTATCTCAGAATATCTTAAAAATCACTGTCACAGAATGAAGCAAGACAATGACATCTGAATTGTACCGCTGAAAAAAAAGCATAAATAAAAAAAAATAAAAATAAAAATTATACACATTAATATTCAAACTAAATTTCCTTCGACAGTTACTTCAGATGGATAGTGGTCGTTGGGGTCGAGTTTTTGATTGTTACGTATGTGAAGGCTGGTTCTGTGGAGAACTATGCTTCGGTTCTAGACGTTTCGGAGGTTTTTATAACGATATAGTCAGCAGACTCTCATTCTAATTCCTGATGTTTATAGAATTTGATTAACACTCCGTTGGTCGCACCAAAGTTACGAACGTCGTCGGTCGTGCGTAGAGCGCCGCGCCGCACCATGTTAAATCGGCATAGTGATAAATTTGAAAGATCTAGGAAAAATCTGAAAAAATCAGCAGTGATCTGGATCGTATACTTGAATAAGTTCCGTGAAATTTTTAATCCTCAGTGTTACCTTCAATTATATATTCAAGCTCAAAGTTGGCATGTTTTTCAGAAAATTCGCCTTATACACGGTACATCGCCCGGAGTGTCGGCATAAAAATTTCAAAATCTTACTGTCCATCTTATTTTCGATGGAGGTTTTCATTGAGAGGGATTCTAGACACTTCAAAATGAGATGTCAAATTTTTTCAAATTTTTCTGAGGCTTGACCAACGGAGTGTTAATTTAACTTGGTCAATCTTTATGTCCTGGTGTTTTTTTGCATCGTATGTCGTAGAATTTTCTATCTCACAATTAGATGAGGGGTTCCAGCCAGGCATGGTGCTCTCTGGTTTTTGTTCAATGCTCTGGTTCTCTTCAATCCGAATTTAAGGAAGCATTTCCTGACCTTCATCCAGTATTCCTCATTTTTCATATTCAGTACTCAAAATTCCATTCAGTTCTAACTAAAAATGGCCATTATTCTTGGAATCCATGAACGTTTGCTCCCGACGGTCATTAAAATAAGAACAAAGCTGGAAGAGCTTCATGAAGAGCTATTCGAAGAAAGTAAAATTTCAGAGGCATTTGCCTCTAACAAACCTTTATCCCCGGACCATACATGCTCTAACAAGCTTGAGAAAATGGCAGGCCCGACTTTGACAGTAGCGAATCAACTACATAAACCAACTCTGACTTGCTAGGAACTTTTTACGACTCAAACGATGAATCAGATCTCCAAAGTCTCAATGGCGATCATTCACGACGTCCAAAGTTAATGAAGAGCCAAGAAAAAAGCAGAAAATGCCAGAAGAACTAATAGGAGCATCAGAAAATGACCTCCCCACCCCCCTTTTCCAAAATCAAAAGACCAGCAAAACATGGGCAAAATCCTCAACGAGGAAGCCAGAATGAGCGTAGCGATGTTCGCAGAATTGGAAGTAAAGTTATTGGAAGTAAACGACTACCAACGACAGACCTTGGCCTGGATGATATGGAGAAGGCACACTAGCTGGAGGCATCTTGGCAGACAATATGGATCTCGGGAAGCTATTAAAGATGATTATATCTCTGAATGGAAAAAAAAAGTTGGCAGAAGGAGTGCACGAAGAGCAGAATAGTTCTTGAAGAAACTCACATTATCTGCTCGGAGCTCATTGATAACATTTTCAAAATGTAACTGGGAAAAAAAAATTAGTAAAGAAGAATTTACAAATTCCAAAACTACGTGAAGAATTATTTTCAACAGGGTAGGAAAGTATTCCAGAAATCCATTATTATTCTACTGACAAAGGAACTTATTGCTCCCTTTTATTCACTAATTGATTGAAAGGAAGTCTCATATGTATTTCATTTTCTCGAGAGTTATGCGTTGGAAGTTTTTACGACATTCAGGTCTTAATGACACTCAGCACTATCTGAACATTTGATTTGTAAAAAAGTTACGATGATTTTTCAAGTTATTCTTATCATTTTACTTTCATAAAAATTATTGCTTCAAAATTATCTCTTTAAACCAGTTTCTGAAGTTCAACGAATAGCTGAAACACTCCCTTTGCTGTTCCAGAGGTTTCAATACTGACTATCACAAGAGAAATATCTTCTTCTGACCGATAAAAATTTTCCAAGGCGAAACTTGATGGAAAAACAAATGGGTAACAGCTTCTCCAACTGCATCAGAGCTATAGGCACTAATTATTGAAGAATTAACTCTCCTCTGCTCTGTATATTGAATAAAAAATCGTTTTATTGAAAACTTAAGGGGAAAAAAATTGTAATAGTGTCCAAAGTTCTATGGACAGCTGTATCGTTCCCTCAGTTTTGTCATAGGCTCTGCACCTGGAAGAAACAGTTTTTTTTGGCAAGGATATTACCTCATGAAAAATTACAGAAAAATTACTCAACAATTTTTTTCTCCCGTCTTAATAGAGGATTTCGAGTGATGAAAAGCTACTTGGTCCTCGTCAAGACTGCTTCGCCACCTTTTAAACATTAAAAAATTACAGAATGTGATGAAAAGATGAATATTCGAGAGAAAACGATTTTTTTCACAAAGGAAACTTACTCTTCAGGGTCAACCAAGAATCCCACACGAACTGAGGAGACGGAGGAGACGGAGGATCCCTATATCCCTCTCCAAATGCACAAATAAATAATCAAATTTCTACGATAAAACAAAAAATAAAAGAAATTTGTGTCGTAGAAACTCTTCTTACAATTTCTCAACATGAAAGGTGGAAACACTAGTAAGAAACAGGGAATCATTATTTTTCAAGGGACCAAATTTACTCTTCAGGATTTGGGGACGACACCTCTTTCTTGTCGAAAGACAGGGAATCCCAATTTACCTAAACGAAAAAATAAATTGAATAAATGATTTCATTCCACACTGAGTTTTTGCTCTTGGCAGAATCTTTCCAGGGTCAATGAGATGGCATTTAGTCTTTCTCTGAATTTATTTGCTAACGTTTCTACTGAAGGAGTTAGAGAGAATAGTTGGCAAATAAAACCAGATATCTGTGCAAACTGTGTAGGAATATCAAGAACATCAACGGGACCACCGAGATCGAGATGATCTTCCAAGAGACTGCCTCAATTCATCAATGAAATCCATTGCACTTCATCAACTTGGTTTTCACTGAGTCAACCCTATCAGAGCGCGTACAATTTTCTTTGTGAAAACCCCATAAGATCATGTAGAAAGAACCTGGTGACACTAGAAACCCCAAACTAAATACCGGTATCAAGAAGGTCCCATAATAGACTGGCTGGGGACAACTCTGTAAGGACACGCACAAGTCACATAGAAATATTGGCAGCAAGAGGGTCCACTAATATATATTCTGAGGTATTTCCCCAACCTCATTTTTACTAAGCACATCCTACGTGGAGAGCACGTACGAATTCTATGGACATGCACTCACGACGGACACAAGTAAGAACATCAGAATTACTTAATTCAACTTGATAAATCCATTACATTTACGTACCCAACTTTTTCGAGCAATTCCATTGAATCTTTTTGTTTTCCAACCAATGTTTACCATTTTACAGGCTACATTCACACGTGGTATCGATTTTTTGACATGTCAAACTGATAACTTCAGATTAAGCAAAATCAAAACGGAACTGCCCGGCCCTAATTATTCTATTTTATTATTGATTCACAAACTTATCACGTAATGCAAGTTCGTTTTACCGGCCGATACCGATGAACTACCGACCCGTTTACGCTTCGCTGCTGTGACTGTGACTATTTTCTCCTCAGGACGGGTGACTATCTGATGTTGTGCTGATCTACGTATACCTGTTGTATTGACTTTAAACGGGTCTTCCTTGTCTATAACAAGTCCACACATAGCACGATAATTGACTTTCTTGTATGTTCGAGAGTCAATTTTTATACCCTTTATCTTACAGCATTCAAATTCTGTACCTTGAGGTGTTATACCGATATTACTATAAAACTTGGACCCACCAAATAAGACGAGCGGATGTAGCTTCCAGTTACGTAGCAGGACAGTTCATCTGTCATTTCGCCTATAAACTACATTTCCTGCTCTCCCGCCGAAAAATGCTTCTCGAGGGTTTAATGGAACGTGCACGCATACTTCATCGCAATTCAGGATTATTGCGCTTCCAATCATTAAACTGATAATCCCACATTTCTTCGAGTGTGTAACCAAGACGTCGGACTAATAAATTGATAGCGAGTATCCGTTCATATCGTTCATGAAGAGAATCACATTTGTGGATTTTTTTCTTTCGTAGTGTGGTGTAACACACGGGGCACCCACGCCGTTAGTATCCCTGAAACTGGAGTACAAACTCCCTGCCATCCGGGTCTTTGTAGAGCCCGTCGACTTCGCGGTTTGTTCCCGGTATTTTGAATTCACGAGCCTTGCCAGCATGAGTAAGATTAATATTCCTCGTATGTTCCACCCACATGAACCACTCAATCGCCGCTTTCAATTGGTTCTACAAAAACGATATCCTCCGTGCGGGATGATACCGGCTGTATCTTTTTTCAAAAACATTTTCCGATAAGTGTGCATTGAGAGTGAAGCCAACGTCGTGCATTCAGAAAACGGGCAAATACCAGAAATACTTTTACTTTAAGTCCTAAATGCGGTACACTCCTCTCAAAATCGCTACATCAGCCCTACATCATATTTGATAATTTCGTCTCTAAAATTGTATACTTTCTTGGCCTTCAGTTTTTCCTCATACCATTTGTCAAACACTTCACGTTCCTTCTTTTTCATCGTTTGGGGTGACCAATTCTGTTTTGGAGATAAATCACAGACATAATTCCAATTCTCACGAGTATTGAAAAGGTATGGGAATTTACCTTTCAAGAGATTGGGTATTCCAAATGTTCTGGGAAGAGCTGAAAGCGGCATGTGGAAAAAGTTTAAACTATCGATAAAATGAATTTTCTCTCCAACCTGGAGCGCAATAATTTTAGTGCCGTCGATGATAGGATGTATGCGTGATACCAATTCATACTGTAGTGCATATTACAAGATGAATTGTGCATCATAACCTTGTGAATTATGAGCTATGCATAAGGTTTAAAACATTTTTTGATACT